AAAGTGATTTTACCTGTAAACGTAAGTTATGAGTTGAGAGTACATGACCCATACTTCTGCCATTTTATCAAGCGTGCTGTTCAAAATTTAGTCTTCGCGCAAAAAATCCTTCCAAGTCTTGCATCAGAGCGTTGCCTGGTCGTCGAGTCGGGAGTAGGAACAGAGAGGCTGGAAATTCACACGTGCAGCGGGCTGGATTGGCCGGTTGTCGTTCCACCAAGATTAACATGTTCGAGCCCCATAATGACAACGTCAAGACAACTGATATATGATAGCTCAGCTCTCACCCACTGGCAATGCTCATCTAAGGTTCCGAAGTCTGCGTGCATACATCTGCTGGGAAAACGCGTTCAACTCAAACTCAAACCTACACCGGCCAAAAATGCTCAGAATAGTGGAGCTCAAATGTGGAATTCATGATCTTCAGGAAAAGGAGAATTGTCGCTGTAAAACACCAATGACAAGTTCGTAGGCAAGTCCAAGTTGAGTTGAATGATGTGTTAGAACTTCGATTTGCGGTCCGTATGACCTTCAGTTATCACCTCCCCTATCTACCATTTTCTGTCATTCGACGCGTGTTCAATCTTGGTTTCCCGCTCAATTGCTTCAGTCTAATCTATAAATATGATTATTTCAAGAAATACTTGGTTCGGGAGCCAGAGTTGTTGGATAAACGGGCGCGGAAGTATCCACCAGCTTGTGCTCCACTACAGCACATTCCAGTTCACGTTGTCCAGTTCTCTCTGTCTTTTGTCGGTCCCAATCAGGAGAAGGATCTATACTGTTGCTGATCCGAGTGTTGGTTTCATCCTTGGATGGAGTTAGAAAATCAATGTCGAGGATATGATCGTGAATCAGGGCCAGTAAACCGCGGTCTTCTGTTCGAGCTTTTAAATCTTCTTGCACACGAGGATACTCAGCAAGGTATGCTTGTCTTAGGTTGGACTTCTGAAGCCCGTGTACATAACCGAAAACCGACATGGGTTTGAATTCTAATAATTGTCAGCCACCTTGAAGCTATATATGAATCGATTTTCTTACCAAACAGCACTTTCACGATGGATGTTCCGTATATTGCTGCGAACATACCAGCAAGAAAGGTCCAAAGTCCACCAACACTTGCAAGGCTCGAGAAGACCGATTCATTGGGGCAGTCCTCGAGGATCTTCCATTCCGTCCAACTAGTTGCGAATGATATTCTGGCTGTACTGATATCTGGGCCTTGTGGAATTACTGCCTTAAATGGGGTCATCCAGTTCTCTGAAAGAATTTGAGTTATATCCGTTGTCAGGAAAGTTCGATACGACTTCAAAACACCATTAATTTAATTCTTGCAATTTATATGGCAAAAGGACATGAATGTTTTCCGTACCTGGACGTGATTGCCCCATAAACTTGGTTTGAATGTGCGACGAATTGTTTTTGTCACTGTGCCGACAAGGTTAACACCGCGAACTAGCAATGCTGACGAAGATTTTGTAACAGCGTCATGTATGCTGTCCGTAAGCCCAACATATATCTGAGCGGATGGAGAAAATACATTTGCGATTGTTGTTTGCAGTGCTGGCTCGGTGAAATTTACGGTGACCAAAATCTCCAGCTGCTCAAGTCTCTCTGCGAGCACTATAACAGCCTCAATAGAAACGCCCGAGAGCAAGAGAACCATGTATCTTACCTTCAGGGTCGGTACTCAGCACCAGACCAGTACTTTTGAACGCCAAATCCAAGCCATTGTGACACACTTCAACCTCTACAAATGGATCTAACTGGTCTTAGTCATGTTCGTCAAGATGAGATGTTAAACAATGTAGCTACCATAACTTAACGCCGGAAGGACTTGAACCGTCACAAAGCTTGTGTAATTTACAGAGGATTGTTTTACCCAGCCATCACAATATGGAGAACCCTTCAAGGAAAAGAGGATAAGTCAAGTTAGAAATGACAATACTTATGGTTGGAATTACATGCCTGGAACCTCATGACAATTTGAAGCACTGGGGGATCACTCAACGTCAGGCCGTGGGGGAAATTGTCCGTCCGATATTCTGCCACCATATTCACCCCTGTTTCTCGAGAGGGTTGGACCACAAAAAGTAGCCAGGCGTAACTGAAAACTGCGAGTAGGATTGTAATTGATAATAACCCGCGGGAATAGACAACCCAGCTCGCCTCTCCGCTACATCGTTCTTTTATGAGCAGTAGATCTCGGACAAATCAAATAAAGTTATTCTCACAAGAAGTGTTCCTTCCAGTTTCCCAAAAGAACTCGTAGGACCAACGGTCTTGGATATCTGGATTTTTTACCCGATACAGAAGACAATTGCCCGCTATTGAACTGAGTCGGCCATGTAAAATCGTATTTCTCCTCCAAGCATTGCTTGAAAGTATGGGTGAGTGATACAATTCCAAGGTCCATAAGACGGAATGCTAATAGCAGAGTAACTGATCCAAGGAGAGTGCACCAAGCCGCCAGCCGTGCAATTTTGATAGAAGTTGATTCTTCTGCATGCGTGAACAGACCTTGTATGATTAACAATGATATTTGAGAGATTGTCACTGCATGTGTAACACAGTAGACCTTCAGCGAATCAAAAATCGCCACAAGAAGACACTGAAACCTACCTCCCATTTCGAAGAATATGAAACAGGTATCATATCGTCTTGATAACATGAATCTTGAGCCAAAAGAACTATTTGATGGATTAAAAAATCAGATCATACGTTTGACACACAATGAAGCTCACGTTGCCAGATGATGGATTAAGATTAGCGAACTCAAAATTGTTGTGGTCAGCACCCAATAGGTGTCACTTGCAACAATTTTCTCCGAGCCAGTGATCATTTCTATTAAGGCGACTGCGAGAGCTGAAGCACACAGCAGCCTTAGTAAGCCAAAGCGAAGAGATATGGCATATTTGGTTGCCATTAGCTTCATAAAGGTGGCTTGAAGTTGTAACCGTCTTGTTTGGATCATTGGACTGGCGAAGAAGGAATAAACCAGAAGTCAATGCACCTTAAAAGTGGGACGTAAGCAAGAGAGACACTAGGTCGTTTCAGTTTTTGTAAACTCATGGAGTTTGATGGGCGCTCACTAGAGAAGATCACACTGAGATGGCGCTGAATCTGACAGATCTTAATTCCCCTGGCAAAGATTTGGCGACACGAACGATCTTTCATGTATGCTGCATCTACAAATATCGAAAAAAAAAATTGTTCGTGTCCCAGGAACATATTTGTGCATGGCGAAATGTAATGACTATAAATTCCTGCGCCTACCTACCCTCGGGTATCTTAACTTCAAGCAAAATCACCGACTGCTGAATGCTGTCTTTTTTTCGGCCCAAATATCTGTACCAGGTCCGAAGTGGGTGAAAGAGTATCAAGAGCTTGAAGTAAAAACATATCATTCTGTACGTACACAGCTCGGAGGCTCCTGACCTCGCCATGCGGTTGGCGCTGGGTGTATCAAATCTCAATGCGATGTTGAGGGAAAGTGCCTCGGGCGAGAAGTTTTCAATGACTTGGAGGGGTGTATATGCGTACATGGTGTGTACTCTTCTACCAAATCCTCTCTTCGATAAACCTTTCTCGTTTACTCTTCGCTCCTTTGGTCAGCTGCTTACCTCTTCCTCAACCAGATTCTTTGAGCCTCCTCAATACTTCATCTTGAACCTCAACAGCAGACGGAAAACATCAACGCTCCAAGTGAAATGAGCGGCAGGCCTGTAAAAATTCAAGCTTCCACTTACCGCCAACATCCAAGATCCAGAACCGCCGACGCTTGCACCGCCGTACATGGTTGTCGCTGCATACGCTGGTGCTTTAGCTCCGAATTGGTGCTCTCTCGTTGGAGAAACAAAATTGAGGAATCGAAGGATATTCCATGTGTTGGCAATGTGTTGTCATTTGTCGAGTTGGATGGAAGAAGGCTCAGAGGCGTACTCGGTACGCATTTCTGCAATCTCTCTCTCTTTCCATCGACGCTGCATTACGCATGAGGCCACATACCTTTGCCAGGTGTATCTGTTTGCTCATGATCAGCTTCAATCACGAGCGCCGGTTACTTGGCGTCCACTCACTTTATTCCCTACGAGTCGACAGATTAATGACCAATGCACTCATGATTGATCATTATAAACTACTCAACCATCTACACTCTAAACTAATATCTCTAATATCTCTGATGTAATAGTACACTAAGAATTAGTTTTAAATCATAATAAATTAACATTTGGAGCTCCTGTACTGGCGATAAATCGACTAGACATGAAGAATTGCACCAGTAACAAGCAAGGCCCAGATGGGACCCGTATTTAAACAACTTGCTCCCCAAAGTAGATAAGTAGACATTTACTTCATTGAGTAAATTTATTATTGAAGTATCCAGTATGAGCCTTGCTGATACTGGTGAATTGATACCTCCACGAAATTGTGACTAGGCTCCTCGATCTGAGCAACATCAGACAATTAATTGATACCTGGGATAATCACAGGCCGGCTTAAGAGCCATTGCTAATCCACTTAGAAGCTTGTTACCTTTGTCGCATCAGCATAAGCTGGATATAAAAGCTTCATGATATCACAGCACTTGCGTTGGCCGATGATTTGATGTGGGCATGCGGTATGGTTCGGCAGGAGGCAAAAAGAAAGCCATGAATCAGGAGTTAGAATACGCACCAAAGCATCCAATATTCCAGCGTGTAATTTTGATAACCCCACATCAAGCCATCTGGACGCTGAGAGTCTTCCAGCTGCGATGAATCCTGTTGCGTTGCAGGAGAATTTTGGTGATGCGAGTAAAAATGATTGAAAATCAACAAATGAACGGTAAACACATTCATGCAGGCCGTGAACGAGGTGCTACATGGTTTCAGGAGACGACCCAGACGGGGAGGCATTTCAAAGCTGAGGGAGGTGGGAATGTTGAATGGGATCAATCAAGCCATTGGCGCTGGCACGATAACCGCCATTATCTTCTCTTGCGTTCCAAAAAGCAATTGTAGCAGCAACTCGTTTCAATCGAGTGACCTCAGAGTTTACTAGACTTAGAAACATGAGTTTCTAAGCTATGAGCCCTGCGCGCTTCCTTGTGCGCCATGCTGCTGTATCAAATGGTCGGGAACAAGGCACTATGCATTTCCGAGTCAACAACGGATACTTCCAAATTTAGAAGCCACCGCCTTCAGTGCATGTTAGCCGATGAGAATGTTCAATGGGACTATAGTATGAGCCATAAAATGATGTTGAAAGAACAGAACAGAAGAGATAGATGATCGTACGAATGAGGCGTACCTTGACTTGGGGATCGCTGAGGGAGAGAGGGAGAGAGGATGGTGGGTTGGGATGAGATGGGTTTGAGCTTGATCTTATCTTGTGCGATGATCACCGATCAGTGACCGGGACCAACCGAACGGTCAATTCGAAAAGTCCACCCTCTCCCTTCATCCTCATCCATCACATCAATACGACAAATTATGTCTGTGTTTTCTTGAAATTTCTGGTTTCACCGTAAACTTGACGCTACGAATGCGGTTATGCTACGCACGAAGATCATGAGTAGGAATGTTTGTACTCGTACTTGGTCCGTATCTTTCTCCTTTGCTTTCCTCATCTTTCCTCGCTCACTTTGCGATTTCTCTCAGATGAATGGATGATAGACGCACCTTTCTTCGCCCGACGCCGCAATTTGGTTGCCCATCATCAATCACCTGTTGACCAAGCTTTCGCCTGCAACCCCGCGCCCAACAGTTTTAAGGGAATACTCTCTCCAATACCAAATATATTCGCTTGGCTGCATCTATCTGCGTCAAATTCGAGTTGGATAATCATGAACTTGAAGGAGTATTCAAGCTGTAAGTAGTACCCGTCACTCAAAGCATGTACCTTTTAATATTTTTCCGTTCTTCAAACTTGCTACGCGTCTGTCTATGGATCTTATCCTTGGTTACTCCATTGCCATTCTTTGCTCCTTTTGTCATTCACTCATTTTTTCCTCGACTAGATTCTTCACGGCTCCACTATACTTCATGCCGACCTCAGCGGCAAACGGACGACCTCAACGCTCCATGTTTTGATCCAAGTGAATGGATCCGCAGAACCCCGAACACTATCTCGCTCAATATCACTGATCTACGGCCCGAAAGTCTGAAACCCTAGACGCGCGTACCGCCGTACACGACCCCTGTTGTGTACGCCAGTACCTGGCTTTCGATTCGTGAAGACACGAAGCCGAAGAACCTAGGAGTCTTCAGGATGTCGAGTTGGATGGCTGAAGGTGTAGAGGCATATTCGGTATGCATATCTCCAATTCTTTCTTCTTCCGTCGTGTCATTCGCTTTACATATCCCTCAATTAGATGATTTTGTCTGACGTGCGCGCTGGCGCCTCCATCGTGGTCTCGACACTCGATGTTTCAACTTGAATGAGCTGTTGAGCGCCGAACGCATTCTTGGGGGTTGTGAATCTCTGCGACGTTGACTCAAGTTATGGATCTCGTTTGAGCTCAAATTTACGACGACGCTCGGTGCCCGCCTAGATACTAGACGCATGTACCGCCGTACACAATCACCATCTTGTACATCGGTCTTTTTTTGCTCACTTGGACACCTCTAATTTTGAATTGTCGATTTTTGATTTAGACTGATTGCTTATTGAAACGTAGGCCAGAAACCCCACTAACGCGGTACGTATTGTTGTGAAATGGTTATAAATTATAGTACGTGGTTCCCCTGGTTTGAGTATATGTGTTTGTGTCCTGAGATTCTTTGATTTTGACCACACTTTCTTGTTCGTTCAAAGTTTTTTTTACGTTCAAGTTTGAGGTAAGATGTCAAACCTCCATGATCTCAAAGCGACCTCGCTCATCTCCGAGTTCTAACAATCAAAAGCTCACTATTTCAACGTTGACTCATTCTTCGTATGCGAGCATTTATTAGCCTGACTAACGCAGTCCCAGTACCTTGGTTCATTTACATTGCAAAGCTCGATGGTGATCTGAATTAACCTAGACCACCCGCTGTTTGCGCGTGCGCACTCCGTGTCTCCCGCTCGTGCAACTTGCTATGGCTCAACCTTGTCTTTTGGGAACTGGAAGATATTTGGACACCCAGCCTTCGAATGCTCAGAGTCATCTTCGTCCTTCAATTTTCTTCAATTGCAGATGGATTTTTTTGAGAACGTCATCACTTTCCCGACCACCAATGAAAAGGACAGAGGCGGCAACCACGGGGGCTTACTCCGTAGTCTTTGACAGTGTGGTTTCTGTGAATGAAGAGGATGGTAGAATAGATAACGGCGCTTATTGCGTGTTTGCTTGAACATTCTCGATACTGTTGTTTATTTAAGTTCTGCTGGAGCTCATATGTGGCTGCTATCTAACCAGGTTTATATGTGATATAAGAGTTTAAGAAATTGGCCTATGGCCCTCTGATTAAGAAAGTACAGATGCGTGGAGCGAGAGAGCATAGCGGATTAGAATTATTTAGGATTATCGCGAATTACCATAGACCAGCACAAACTCGTTGAGTTTTTTTCAGTTGAGAGGTATTCCCTTCCATTACCCCCGCACTACGTGGACTATTGAAGAAATACCTCGTAATATCAAGAAGTTTGCGTTGGTCGATATGAATTCGCAGGTCCGTTCCATTCAAGTTGAGGGGGTTGACACATCTGTGACCCTGACGCTGAGCACGGCCAATGTTCAACATCCTATCCGAGATAGATGCATCCCTGTTTGAGTAAATGAAGAAAATTCTTCGAATACATTTTGAGAACATCAAAGTAGCACTGAGATTGAGACGATAAACCTTGGGTCATAAGTTTGCAAAAGGAATGGTTCAGAGAAAAGGGAGGTTTCGAGGATGAGGAAGCAGCCGTATTGGTAACACGCACATGAATTAGACTATTAGAGTTTGACTGGAGGACATCGTTGAGAGAAGAAGCCTATCGGAAGAGGAGGAGGATCTTATCGCGCACGATGATCAGTTGCTGAGCGGGATCACCCGAACCGTCGAAAGCAAAAGCGCCGATTGCAATCCACATTGTCCTCCTTCCACTTTGCCAAATTTCAGTGTTCTGCTCTGCTCCACTCTTGTACTATTAGATCTTCGTGTTGATAACCCTCCATCCACAACAGTAAGAGTCGGACCCACATTCGGCGCACTCGTATTGACGTTCCCTCCCGTGTCCAGAGTGTATGTGCTCCTTTGCTTTCCCTCCCTCCTTCAACATCAACACGATCGCCGACGCGTTTGACTCTGTTCAGTACCTCCTCTGCGTCCTTCTGACACTCCATCAATCTACAGCTGCGGGAGTTTCAGCCCCATCACAGTGGCTCGTCGCTGCTGTAACATCTTCCCTTACTGGCGTCACCTTCCACGCACAGGCGTTTTCATCACGCTTCCTCCACACACAAGACGCGTCAGCGCCCCAATTCCCCTGCCCGTGGACTAGTCAACACTGCTTCAAAGAAACATCCCCGTCTGTCTCCGCCTCCAAGTCTTCAACGATTTCTGGTTCCGCTCAGCACAACCTACGCCACCACTCAACGTCTCTGTGGACCTGGAAAACAGAGACTACACAGCTGTCAGAGGAGGATGCAAAATGACATTCGTCCCAGTGTATGTGGCTTCCTTTGTCTTCTACTTCACATTCTTTTTCTCAGAGCTCAACACGCATACATGCCCTCCATCTTCCCATTTTCATCGGATGTAAACTCGACCGACTAACACTCTTTCATTCGCTTGGGATCTCATCACCTCTCGCCTTCCGTGAACTTTAGGACCGACACTCATATCCACTTCTGTGTACGCCGGTGCTAGCCATGATACCCGTCAATGCGTTATTCGGAGCAAGATGTTCTCATGGCAAAAACTCGGACAAGGACGTTTTTGGAGAAACTTGAGATGGTGGTAATAGTATACCGAGCGCGGTTGAAGAGTGGTGGGGTGGCGTTGGGTGTCGGATGAACGAGGGCCAAGTATCCGGTATGTCCTGCTCGTCCTGCTCGTCTTTCCACCTTTCGCCTTTTTATTCATAACCAATCTATCACAGACGCCTTGCCCTCACACCATTCTACCCAGTGCACACCACCCGCGTCAATGCAGTCGAGCTCGATACTCGAACTCAAACTTGATTTTTCAGTGGTGGGGTTGAAGTCGAGTTGCGAACACGCTTATTTTGAAGGGTCGCTCCGATGAGATGGTTTGAGAACGTCGGGTTGTGTCGGGCTGGAAAGAATGCGTTTGAAGAAGGTTGAGTTGGAACTGGATGAATGGCAGCGGTACAGCTTCAAGTAGATTATGTGGTATGTCTTCTTATTCTTCCTATTGTCTTCTCTCCATTCCCCTTCGTCTCTGACTATATAACGCCCACACTCCTTAGCCCACACTGCCTTTTCTCCCGGTACCCCACCAACCTCAAAACCGATCCGCGCTCTCGCTCTCAAGCTTGAGTTATCGGCCGTTGATGTTGATGCGCATCACGCTACGGACGTTGAACAATCTTTGAAGTTTCAATGATATCAAAGTCCGATCTATTTGCTTTTCACCGTTTGGAGTAGGACGGCCAGGAAAAACTATGGCAACACTTCTCGGATAAGCTCAACGCCGGCTCAATGTTGGAATTTGGAGCGTCATTAGGGAAATGTGTGGTTAAGGTGTATGCAGTTTGGGTATAATATTAACACGGATGTGAAGCTGTATCTCGGAGTAAAAAGCTTATGGTACGCGTCTAAGTTACATTCTTCGAAATTGGATTGACTCTCCTCTGACTATCAGATGTTTTGGCCTGGATCTAGTTTTTTGACTATCATACCGATTCTCCTTCTTTAGATAATACTACCTCGTATCTGGGATCTATGATGCTTTCAAGCTCAGAATTCAAAGTCAAAGTCAAATTCAAAGTCAGGTTTTTCGTAGTGTTGATGTGAGGCCTGTGTATACCGGTGCTGTTAGCGAGCGATCTAAAAGTGAAGATGGGCCAAAGTAAAGCTGAGTGAGTTGTAGTACTCGTGTAGAAGGCGGCGTGATTGTGGATTGAGATTTTAACAGGGTTTTTGATCAGCTTGTCGCCTGGTTGGGCTTTCCAGAGGTGATGTCGTTTTTT